ATAATAGCTTTTTATGTTAGTATTATTTTTCATATGTTTTATATAGATTAATTATACTGTAGTTTGATAAACAGAGGTGCAATATGAAGTACATGTACTCATATTCTAATGCAGTCAGCAACAGCATTGCTTTTGCAAGTATGAATCCATATTTAAAAAGTTTAGACCTTGCAAGCACTGTTTAAACATGAATGTTTATGACTAATATGAATGTAAACTAAGTGAAGAGTTATTCACTGCAAGTTTGATATTAACTGGCATGATATTTTATTTCAAATTTCTGGACTATCCCTTTAAGAGCATAAAAATATTGCATGAGATGAAGGTGATGACTATCCCTTGTAGGTTGATGGAATATTTATGGTACGATACCATTCATGATGAGCACTACTTTTGTTGGCATCTAATAAAGATATTCCACTCATTCACCCTCATGAATCAGTTCTTTATTAAAGCCTTAAAACGTGGAATATTGCATTTTATTCACATACCGCAGTGTCCCTTCAGGCCCTCTCTCCACTTCAGTGCTATTTGCATGTCTAAACCAGCAGAGTCATTAAAAGGCAACCAACCACAGCGGCAGAGTCTCCATGCTGAGTGCCTTCCTGAAGCTGCTGAAGCATCGTCAGCCTTGGGAGAAAGAGAATCAGAGAGCCTCTACAGGTCCCCTCTGGGAAGAGAAAAGAGCTCTTATTCTAACTCGGTGGAAAATGCCAGCACCCACAGGGGCACTGTTACACACAGCTGGGATAATAAGCATCACAGGGAGACCCACAATCCACCAGCAAACTGAAACCAGCACATGCATTTTCTCCCTAATCCACCATTGCCACAAAGCTATCTCATCCCCAAAAGCCAATGAATACCCTCATCTTAGTAGGACTATTTTAGTGTCTCAGTGTGGTGCGCAATATTGGATGTGGTGTATAGGATGACAGAGGTAAAGGGGATGCAGTGAAACAATGAGGGACGAGATGCACTCAGACTCAACCTGAAAGTCTTACAGCATGCAGTTTACACAGCATATAGTAATCTATATGTAATCATATAGTATATAGTAATCATATATGTCATCTTAAATCTAATTAGTTTTAAACATTCCTGTACCACTTCGGACACGACATAATTCAGCTGCAGCTTCTTATTCAAATCTTACTACCAGGTATTTAATAATACTATTATTATGCATACTAATAATCTTTAGGTATGTTAGAGTTGGGGAAGCTGATATGTGAGCTAATATTTTCATGATGATAAGGTGACTACACTGATTTACAACTCAAGCTCTGGAGGACACTTTCTCAACTAATCCTTGAATCAGAGAAAGATGTGGATTTGTATTGTTATTCAGTTTAATCATCTGGGGATTGCAGGAGCTCTATCCATGGATTATATTTTTAAAAGTCCAATTTTACTATCACTAGTTTGAGCCATTAAACATAAAACCCACTGAATTGTTACATGTCAAATTTATTACATTTTTAAGGATTACATTTCCAACTGAGACCTTATCAAAAAAGCCTCAACATTCTTGTGCGCAACTCTTATTTCTTCGCAAAGGGGAAAATATAGATGCTAGGCACAACAGCCTTGATTCATCTTAGGTTTTCTCCCCTGCTGTTAGATCCTGCTTGTGTGTTTTCCGCTCTCACACTTTCTCGCTTAGCTTCCTCCCTCCCATGTATTCAGCTTAATAAGTTAGCATGAATGGCCACATCCAAATATAATGCCTGGGACCTGCTGGCGGGCTTTAAATGTGGCCCTAATGGCTACACCATTATACTGCTCGGTACATACTCAGAATGTACTGAATGTGTTGCTTTGGAAGAACTGAGATGGTGGCGGGCAGGAGGTGGCAGTGGGGGGTGGGAGGGAGAGTAAAGAGCTGCCTTTCCATTAGCTGATTGAGTTGGAACCTATTCTTGTTTACTGGCTCTTGTTTGCTTCACATTAAATAAGCCCAGGATGTAAACAACTCTGTTATGCAGCTCAAAAAAATCTCACAGGAAAGCCATGTCCCACCAGCAAGACTTTCGCCTTCTCAGCCAGCAGTAAAACAAAGGTTGTGTACTGGTAGAAGTGGCTGCCTCAGTACATTCCTCGGTTCTGCTGATGCTTTGTATTAGCCAATCCATGTTTTGCGTGAGCCAGAGTGAAGGCCTAATGGACCATGGCGTGCTGAAGTGGCTGACCGGCTGTCTCCGACAACACATCACACATTAGGATCCAACATTTACCCAAGTGCAATGTCAGATTTAATAAATGATATATATACACTTGTGGTGGCTCTATTGCAAAAGGCTGGTGAGAGGAAAGAAGATGACAGGCTTCACAAGCCATAAGTGTTCCTTTTTCTTTTTTCTGTAGAACCAGGTCAACACACAAGATGTCTCTGTACAGAGAATACAGGAGGGAAGAGGTATTACTCTGCAGAGTTAAGGACATGGTGTATTACATACTGCATAGTATATTGTTGCATTCTGGATAATAGTGGATGCTTTTGACAAAGAACAAAAATATGTTGTTTGGTGTTGCTTGCACTTTTTTTTACTTATGTTCAGACCCAGCATGACCCCAACTTCTACTCTAAGAAAAAATGTCTAAATATAAAATATGAATATAGTCAGGGATAAACTGCCCTCACACACATTTAGTGAAGTCAAATGTAAATAGATTTTTTAAAATGTATCAGAAGATAGAATCAAAAATTATAATAAACATTGTCTTCCCCATTCCTGCTTTTGGAATAAGGGAAAAGTTAATTGTGCCCCTCAATTGGTCCCTGAGCGTTTGCCTGTTAAATGGTTCTGCTGTCACAGTTCTTATCCACTTTGCCTCTGTTACCTTGAGTTTGACAAGTTCCCACCTGTCACAGGTTTTTCTGTGATCGCAGCTTTGCTGTTATCTGCATTTCAAAGACCTGCCAACATTTTAGAGATAACTAACCTCGCACAATCCCTGTCAATGGATCTACCTGCGACATCTCACAGCCTGAGTGACTGAGTGCAGCGCCCAGAAGCTGTTACTTGATCTAATCATTGCAATCATAGACAGGACATATTATAATCATTTCCAAGCCTTTTGCTTCCCTATCATTAGGAAATATTATGGAGAGCTGCACTGACAGAAGTTGGCTATTTCAACACTCTTTAGAAAGAGTTTTATTTGGATGTTGTGTATTGCCAAGCCTGAAGCTAATGGGGCATATACTTAAGTAATATTAACAGGGGGTACACTCGCTTTCTGCCGCTCAGATTCAAATACAGATGAGAGGAAAGTTACTTAAACACAAGAAGTATTACATATTTAAGACATTCTTTATCCAAACTAGAATTTAACATTTCCTGTCATTTTAATGTGCTCTTTCTGATTATTAGTTATTTTGTGACAATTTAATGTAAAAATTCAGACCACAACAAGAGATGTATTCAAAGCTTAACTTCATCAGAGAAACATAGATTGCTCCAGATCATAGTTTAATGCAAAAGAGCTTCTGCCGACATGTTTTCTTTTCTTTCAACCATAATTTATCAAAATGACTAAGTTAAGTACCAGGTGAAAACATTTTATAATAGTTTTATTTTTCTTAATTCAAGAAATTATATGGTACCGAGCAAATCGATATAGAAATATGCTGATGCTTGCATTTACCAGTATATTTGAATCATTCAAATCTATAAAACTGTTATTATGAGTTTAATACTGAATGATTATTGCCATTGAACCTGACACCCTTCTAGTGTTTCCATCACTGTTATGTATTGTTTCAACGAGATGTGGAATATTTGCTTTCATGGGTTTTAATGAAGTGACAACTGGTTTGGTTGTAGTTTCATCAGTTTTTAAATCATGCTGTTCTTCTTGCTGGTCTTTCATAAAGGCCATGTTCTTGGAATGGTCTTAAAGTTGTTCTTAACAGATTTTCCCATCTTAGCTGTTGATCTGTGCAAATATTTCAGAGCTACATTGGGCTTCTTGTCTACTTCTCTGATTAATAGAAATAAACTTTTAAACAAGCAATAAAGTTACACACATGCAGATGCTATTTAACTTTATGTATGTGACTTCTTTAGACAATTTGGTCAGCAGAATATTTTTTGTTAGCAGCAGTGTTAACCCACATATTGGATGCTTTTTTTATTTTTTTTGTAACTTTCTTCTGTATAATTTTTTATACCATTTTGTGTTTAAAATCCCAGTGAAATCGGTACAATATTAAAGTTTGAGGTTGTAAAGTGGCTAAAAGTGAAATGTTCAAAAGGTGTGAAAACTTTTGTCATTCACAGTATGGAGTCAGAATACTTTTTGCTGTGTAGCTTCCCCCTCTTGTGAGGTATTTTGAGCCACATATTTGGAGTAGTTAAATATTCATGATCTCTCATAGGAATATTTAATTAACTGATGGTGCTCTGGGCTCTCTCTCTCTCAGTCATGTGCTTGGGCTGAACACAGTTAGGCAGTGGCCCCTATGGGTTAGCTTCTGTAAAACAAAGCCCACATTTCTGCAGAATCTTACTGTATTTTTGCTGTGGGGGCAGAGAAAGTCTGACTCCCCTCTGCGTGATGCACGGCAGAATACATATAGGTCGCCGTGAAAATGTGCTGCAAATTATGGGTGACTCAGGGGAGCATGCTGCAGGTCATGTGTAAAGACAGGAGCAGAGATGCACACAAGTGCGCGTACAAAGACATGTGTATAGTTAGTACCTCATTATGAGACAAGCATGCACCGAGGCGCACCAGTTCACAGAAGCAATAGTGAACTAATACCCATCCGTAAACTGCCGCCTTTACCTGCCCAATCTACTGGTTGAAATCTGACTTTTTATTATTATTATCATCATTATTATCTGATTTTTTATTTATTTATTTTTTTTTAGCCCTTTAGGCGCTCCCCCAGAAATCTAGTGTTGTGACACTGGGTGATACAGGAGGTGGACGGAGTGGAGCTGGGGGGCGCTCTGTTCTGCTCAGAGCAGGACGCAGGAGACGGTCGCTCTCCAAGGTTCTGAAAGTCGGGCGCGCTCCCTCTTCAGTCTCGCCTACTGGCGATTAATGCAAACCTCAACTGCAAAATCCTCTAATGACTGCCTTCATTCAGAAGTGCTTTGCTTCTCCCCCACCCCTTTTTTTTTGTGCAGAATCTTTCGTCTTAGTCATAGTGGATTTTTGTTTTACAATGCAACCGCTGGATGTACGCTCGCATATATGCGCAACAAGACTGAGAGCCGCTGACCAACCTGCATCATTTGGATATACTGACTATACTCTGGATTCTCAAGGAACGCTATACGGAGGATTTTAAGCAGTTTTCTCTTTCCTTTTTTGTAGCTTTGCGCGTCCGTGCCGCATGCTGCTGCACGTGAACTGCGATATTGTCTCAGAAAGGTGAGTCGGATAAGGGTAATGATGACACAGACCTACTTTTTCGTGAATGTCACCGTCTTTGCATCTGCAAAGAGCGAAGAAGAAAAGGCTGATCACTACTTGCTTTTGAACCCATAATCCACGAGGGAGGAGGGGAACAACAGTGTTACGAGGAGCCTTGTGAATCTAATGCGTGGATGAGAGTGAAGTTTCCAATGGGCAAGGCGACTATCTGAGGTCTGTTCCAGCAATCCGTGCTCTGGATGTTTTTGGCTTCACACAAAGAGGATATCAAGATTTTTTTTAAATAACAATAACCACGGTGAGTTTGCCTGATCGCTCAAAGTGCGCCACTGTTGTCCTTAAAATCCATCTGGTATTGTAAAACACGAAGCTCTAAATGCACAGGGATGATTTGTCAGCCTATTTTCAGCTGTTTTACTGCTTCTTTATAAAATAATAACAATAATAATAAAGAGGGTGGTGGATTTTAAAATGTATGGCTGCATAGCAGCCCTGATTTAGTTTACTATTAAAGCTAACAAAAGCAAATATCATTTAAATGTGACAAATGAAACTACCTGTTGTTTATGGCTCTTGATATAAAGTTCTCAATTTGTTGAAGCTCAAATTGGTCGACCTTTTCAGAATTTGGAACACAAAACACTCCACCCAGTTCAGTAAATGATTATCACAAGCCCTGTCCTCTGTTGTTCTGTTGCTGCTCTAGGACCTACATCTGCTGCTGCACTATATAACAAACCTGTTGAGCGGTATACGCTGCCAGACAACCGAAACGAAACTGCTTTTCATCGTGTAAAATAATCACTTCGATAAAACTTGCTGCAAAAAAAAAAAAAAAAAAAAAACAACCAAAAAAACAAAAAAACAAAAGTACAGGTGAGACAGGGTTGCGAGAATGCGCAAAACAGCAGGCAGTGAAATCACCACCCCATGCCATGATTATTATCTGTGTATTTATTTATTTAATTTCTTTGTTATTCCACTGCAGAGCATTTCTTTCGGATACACGATGACAGCAGTGATATCGATGATAGCAATGATAAAGACCTGGTCGGATCCGGAGAGAATACCCGGAGCTTAGAGATGACATCCACGCAGTCGTGTTGAATGTGGATGTTAACGCCGCGGGGAAGGATGGGCCCTCTCCTCTGGACCGCCTCCGTCCTCCTCCTGTTTCTCCTCCTGGCCCTGAGCGTCGCGTCTCCGGCCACCGTTGGCAACCCCGAGGATTACGTCGCCGACGAGGCAGAGCGGACCGCCGCGGATAACATAGTCTTTGACGACTACAGGGGGAAGGGGTGCGTGGATGACAGCGGGTTCGTGTACAAGCTGGGAGAGCGTTTCTATCCGGGACACTCAAACTGCCCGTGCGTGTGCACGGAGGACGGGCCCGTGTGCGACCAGCCCGAGTGCCCGAAACTGCACCCCAAGTGCACGAAAGTAGAGCACAATGGATGCTGCCCCGAGTGCAAGGAGGTTAAAAACTTTTGCGAGTACCGAGGGAAAACGTATAAAATCCTGGAGGAATTCAAGGTAGGCCAATATTGTTTGAGTTTGTCTGTCCTTGCACCCATAAGGCAAACTGTTGCAATTTCGAGCACAGAACTTGGATGCATTTTGTTTGCGTAGATTTAAATAACTTATGCAAAGCAGATACGTGGAGGTGGCATAACATTATGGCCTCTGTCTCATTGAGGCATGAACTCTAATGACCCCTTGAAGGTTTATTATGATACATGACACCGAGATCTTAAACAGCAGATGTTTTAAGTTTTGTAAACTGAGAGGCAGAGCCTTCATGGCTTGATCTTGTTTGACCAGGACATCCTTCATGCTCAATGGGATTGGAGCCTTGGGAATTCAGAGAACTTATTGCCTTTGAGGCACATTATTCTGACCATCACATAAAACTGTTTCTATGAAAGGGTGTCGGCCTCCAACAAAGCTCATCATGCAATAAATGTAGGCTAGGGATTTTCAATCTTTCCCGTCCAAAGACCAATTTCCACCCATGATCCAGCTAAATGAAATTTGCTTAGAGCTGCAAAAGTTGCATGACTCTTCAGAAAAAGAGTATATTTTTGGAGATGCGGTAACAAGGAAAAAACATGAAAACATTTCTTGCAGTATTAGTCTTACTCTGTTGTGGAAATTCTTTACAAAAGTGTCATGAAAGCGCAAGGAAAATCTGCCAAACCCAGAATTATTACTACAACTATAAGATATTGCTTAGTTTTTAATATTTTATGCACTCTTGCACGGACAGAGACTTTGCCCGATTTGTCTAAGCTGAAATATTTATTAAAACAACCTACATATATATGTCACCCTTATTATTATTTATTGGATATGACAACAGATGAATGATGACCAACAGTTGACCCAACATCTTCAATTAAACTTTAATACAATGTTTACGTAGAATGTATTACCAAAATAATTGGTTAGTGCTGTTATCTTATTCAGTACTATATTTACAAACTATATATGCTATGTATAATGGCTAATACTCAATAACTCCCCAAATTAAATTTTCTTTAATTTTTTATTTCACATTGAAAGTAAAGAGTGATTCTGTCTCCAAACACCCAAAAACCATAAGAAGAGCTCTTCTTATTGAACCACCATAATAAACTGATGAGCTATTTCTAACATAGACAGGTAATACTTGTAATATATATTTTATAACAGCCACCGTGTATTCATTTTTACTGTTTTCATTTTACAATTTGTTCTCAGAAGCCAGGTGAATATGCAGACCTATAATTCCATTCAATAAATGACACCAGAGAAGGTTAGCCATTTGAACTAGATGCATTTGTTATGGATTATCTTATAAATGTGTATTATTTAGATTAACCTTTATATCCTGAAACTGTATCATCAAACTTAATTTTTGGCCAAGAGCACCAACAACGCTGCCACCCAGTGTGATTCCACCCTTTGTTGGACCATCGATGCCACACCGACAGATCCTAAGACAGTATTTTTATACGCTGTTGTGTGGACACTGAGTCATCGCTCTTGCAGCAGGTCTCTACCCATCACAACAGTGTCTCTGCAGTTGTTATGGAGCATGACAGCACTGTCTGATTAAAAATGACACCAGGGGTATGACAACTACAGTCTGTGTTTAAACTGTTGCTGCCCATGAGGAGACCTCCTAGTTTCAGCTCCCCGCAAGTGCACCCAGGGTGGGTGTGACTGAAATAAGATATGACACAACATGGCCCAAACAACAAGCTCCATAGCTAATCACAGATTTTAGTCATGTCTGAGCAAACAAATCAGTGCTCAGAGATAAGATTTGTGCATCTATTCCAGTTCACTCAGCCCAATACAGCAAGCAAACAATGGGAATATTTCCCCCCCAACATTGTTGTAATCTGAATTTATATCATGTAATTAAGATAATTGATGACTGTTTTTCTCAAAATTGTCTTGCTAATTTTCCACACACTTTAACTTTAAGATCGCACAGTTACAAGTACAACATCGTGTACAACTTTAAATGATTGTTTTAGTGGACAAATATGAATAGACATCATTTCCACAGTTAATTGAATCTGGTGTAAAGTTTTCTACTAGAAGTCAGATTAGAAGAAAGCTTTTCAACATCATGTTGTTGGCTGTCAACTCAAACAATATGTACCCGTTGTCTGTAAAGAGCTTAGAGCTTAAAGTGGGGAAGCAGCTCTTATTATCCTCTGAATTAAACTAAAGCTAAGTGAGTGCTCGTAGCTTGGATATATTATTGAAGAGCATCTAATGTGTTCTCTTGTTCACATAGTGGATTTGTGAATAGTTTATAAATGTTTTAAACTCTATACAATGTTTAAAAAAGAAGAAAAAAAACCCTGAAAGAAATAGGGGAAAGAGATTAAAATTGTGTACATACACATTTGATCAATAATCTAGAATAATTATTTATTTTCTTACTTGTGTAAATGAACACACATTGTTGATCTTTACTCATATGCTGTCTGATATTTTAATAATAAAAGTAGCTGAAAATAAATAGAAAAGTTTCCACATCAGCCCAAAGAGTCATATTCTATTCCTCAACACAAACTGAAGTATGATGGTTAGCTACAAGAAATTACTCTCTATGATCTATTTTTGTTGTATCTTGACCTTTCCAAAACAATTTTGTTGTTTCCTTTTTTTTGTGGTGGAACAAAGTGCATTTATTGATTTATTTATTTTCACAGAGCATGATGGGTTTTTTTTAATCGGAAATATAGCATTTTATTACATTGTTTTCTGGTTGTAATTCATAATGGATTAGCTTTAATTTTTGGTTGGTTTGGGGGGGTCTCACTCCTGTGAGCATCACAAATCACGCAGTTGCTGTTTAGTGTCACACATAACATCTTGTCTAGCTTTAACGATAAATAGTTGTCACTCAACTACTGCTTAATGCAGTTAATAAAAGTCAATATTCGTGAAGCTCATAAGAGAAGTACACCTGAATATCATCAACAAAAATAAGAAGCATCGCTAAACTGCTTTGTTATCTGGCTTAAAGTGGAATACATTTTAAAAATGAAATTGGTCCTAGTTCAGAGCAATGAGGAACTCCAAAAGCACTTCTTGCAGACACACCAAAACTCCTATCAAACCACTTTTGATCAAACCCAGACGTCCCAACCACATCCCTCAATCTGTTTCTCATTATGAAATTATTCTGACAGCCAGACTTGTGCCTAAAGCTGAGGAAGGGTACAATAAGACCAGAACTTTGTATTTGCCAAAACCCTTCAAAATATCACTGGTAGCTTCAAGTAGTGTTTTTGCAGTGGAATGCATTCAGCACAAAAACAAATTGTAAATGGTCATAGAATTTTTACTTCAAATAGGCAATAAGAAGGTAAGCAAAATCCTTCTGAAAAGCTTTGGCATAAAAAGAAGTTTGGAAATATGCCATGGATTGGTTCCATTTTTTAAATAGCATGGGAACACCTTGTTCAGAAGAGAAACATGAAAAGAGGTTATAAGCCAATGATGAAGAGTATCAAAGAATCTGAAAAAAGCTTGTTAGGTAAAACACCTGAAAAGCAGAAGGCTTAACTTTATTTACAACAGCAATCATGTTGGCATATCTCACAGGTGTAAAAGTCTACCAGGAGTAAGTAGTCAGTTCCTCACTGGAAGAACAAGATGGCTTTGGTAAAAAAAAAAAAAAAAATTGCTGTTAATTTCTCTAATCTTAGCAACAAAAAAATCAAATTTGTTGTCATCTGATTCAGAGTACACAGAAATGAATACAGTAACATGAAGCAAAATAGCAGTGATTTTGTCAAACACTTCAGGATTTCTTTTGTTTTTTGATATGGATCTAGAAAATATTTTTATTTGGCCTTTTACCTTTTTCTCTAATGAAAAATTGCGCTTGATGCCATTTGATTTAGAATGGATGAGCATTCTCTGTTGGAGTACTGGATAACAGTGTTTACATCATTTCCATTTGAAAGCAGAGAATTGTCAAACATTACAAATAACTTTTCAGAAGAGTTTTCAGTTATTATTGAACCCTGGGTTTCTAATTTCAAGAGTATTTACTGAAAGTTAAGGTAAACAAAGAAGCAATTTTAACCTCTCAATTGTACAGTCTACACAGATAAATTGGTAATGCTAAGGGTCAAACAAAGAAGAAGGTCCAAGCCATGACCTTTATTAAATGGGTTGGCACAGAAACATGTCGGACAAAATCAAAAGAATCAAAGATACAAATTTCAGCTGCTGCTTGCAAAGCCTTTTTTTCCACACCCAAACTGTTCAAAAATACAGAAAATATTCTTGCGACATTGAGTCATAACTACAAAACAAGCAAATAAAGATGACATTTTTGTTGTCCAAACCCAAATGAGTAAATAGTTATCACAAGTGCATAGATACATTGCTAAAAATGCGTATTAAATTAGCCAAGCTCACCAGAAGCACATAAGAATCTGGATCATTTTGCAAAATAACCAAAGTCTGACCACAAAATCAAAGTTTTGACTAAATTTTTCTTGTACCTGAGACTGGATATAAAATTTGATAATAAAACTAAGAAAAACACATGCATCAGAGAGAATAAGAAAGAGCAAATACCAAGAATATCACTGATAAACATAAAATATCAAGGCTAAATAGCCCAACATTTATCTTTGTTGATCAACTTTGCACTATATCTGTCACTCAAATCACATGCAGAACATTTCATAACATCTTTGACTTCATTTAATCAAAGATGAAATCAGGCCAAAGCTAGAAACCCTCTCGAAGACGCTCAAACATTTTTCAGTAATGACATTTTCTTTGCATTACATAGCACTGAAACAAACTGAAGAAGGCATGTGCGTGCACTCAAACTTCAGCTAAATAGGTCAGTGGGAAAGTATCATTATTCACAATGTTCTGACTTTTCATTAGCAGTCCTGTATTATTTTTAAAGTAGGCCAGATTTTATTTTCTATTTTATTAACTTGTTTTGATATTTTTCTTAGAAAGTATTCTGTTTCTTCTAGACTATCAATGACAGTTTCACT